TGAAATCACTCTCCGTCTGCATACATTTCAAGATCATAAGAAAATCCTAGTGTAAAAATACATCATCAACGTCGTCTTCGGATCATATAGCAACATTTCAAAATTGGATCTCCCTCAGGAAATATTAGAGCAGTACAAAAGCTCTCTTGCTCATAAAGTGCTTTACAAAAAGTCATGAAAGATAATACATTCAGATAGGACGCTGATCTCAATAAGTATTCAGTCTCAAAGATGCTGCTAAGCTTCTTATGGATCCCAGGATCAATTCCTGCCCGGGAATTCTTGCCTCTCTCTCTGATTCTTGCGTCACACTAACTCAGCTTAGAGGGAACACTGGTCACAGGCCACCTTGCAGGAAACAATGCTCCCCCTAAGCTGTGGAGTCTTGCGAGCAAAGATTCTACTTTGTGAGCTGCCGGCATTAAAGTTGTGAGCGAGCGATTTGGCTACGGCATAAATTAGTTTGCTCTGGAGCCATCCTCCCTGAGCTAAGATGAAAATGTGTGAGCTGTAGGCTAAAAAACTGTGAGTTAGCTCACTCTAACTCAGCTTAGAAGGGAACACTGGCAGGAAACAGCTGTTAGAGATATATATATATATATATCCTCCTGGCCCCTTCGCTTCTGTTGCCGTCTTACGTGGTGCCTTCAGAAACTGGAATGTGAGAAAAAAAGAATCCCTTTTAGAGAGGAACTGGATGGTCCCATGCCCAGGGAAATGCTGATCGCCACTTTGGGGCCAGGAAGCAACTTGTCTCCAGGCCAGTTTGGCCGGGGATCCTGGAGGGTTTTTGTCATCTCCCCAGCCAGACATGTTCGGGAACTGTCCGGGGCCCTGGCCAAGTTGCCCTGGTGCGCTGTCCTGCCCTCGCTAAGGTGCAAAGGGCAACAGAGCTGCAACACGAAGTCGGAGCAGAGCAAGAGGAAAGCAGAGTGCAGGGGGGGGGGGGTTGGACGAGATGACCTGCAAGGTCCCTTCCAACTCTAACATTCTATGATTCTATGATTTGTTCCGCCATCTAATCATAAGAGTCTTTTAGTCACTTTTAAATAACTGGACTCAAACTGCTTCCTGTCAGCTGTCCCAGAAGCTTCAGAGAAATCTTCAGCAGTCCCATTGATCTGATGTTTGAGGGTTTTTTTACTTAATTATTGTGGCATACTGTGAAACATTGAGAAATACTACTTTTAGGTATTCAGAAATAGCCTGTTCTTTCACAGTAATATTGCTTGGGTCAGCCCAGTTGTCCAGTTCACTAAGCAAAAACATATCATTTGTTATAGAAAGCAGGCAGATGGGTGTTTAAGTGTTAAAACTGTTCTTACTTGTCTCTCTTGTGTTTAGGAACTATAATTCCCAACCTGGTGGAAATTTATCAGTATACTTAATACAGCTAATGCCAATAGCTTACGAAACATAAACCCTGGCTTACAATAAGCATCTAATAATATATTAGAGGAGGGGGTGGCCAAACTTGCTCAGCTTAAGAGCCACATAGAATAAATGTCAGATGTTTGAGAGCCGCGAGACAGGAACAAATATGACATGGTTCTTTTCTAAAATATGTAGATTTGCTTTTTACTAACATGAAGCGAGACTGCCAAAAACTAAAGGGGTCAAAACAGATACCGATGATGACATTTATCTGTCCAATTATATTTATTTGATTGCGGATGATATTCATTTGTCTGAGAGAGAGAGAGAAAGAGAGAGAAGTGGAAAGAAAGAAGGAAAGAGGTGGAAAGAGAGAGAGAGAAAAAAACAAAGACAGCAAATTTGGTGTAGTTTGGTGCAGTGGATAAGTGCACGGACTCTAATCTGGGGGAACCGGGTTTGATTCCCCACTCCTCCATTTGCACCTGGCTGGATGACCTTGGGCAAGCCATAGTTCTGACAAGAGCTGTCCTTGAAAAAGAGCAGTTTCTGTCAAGAGTTCTCTCAGCCCCACCCACCTCACAGGGTGTCTGTTGTGGGGAGGGGAAGGGAAATGCCTTCCCCTCCCCACAACAGAGATGCCGCTCTGTCGTTGGAAACAAATGGTGGTGCGCGAGCCAGAATCTACGAAAAAAAAGCTTAAAAGAATTATTTCTTAAGGACTGCTGCCTCCTTTTTGAGGAGATTACCCTTGGGGTTGCCAGATCCGGGTTGGGAAATTACTGAATATTTTGGGGGGGGTGAAGCTAGGAGAGGGGGGGGCTTGGGGAGAGGAGAGGCGGGGCTTCCGCGGGATATAACTCCATAGACTCCACCCTCCCAAGCAGCCGTTCCTCTCCCAGGGAACTGATCTCTGTGGAATGGAATTGTGGTTGTCTCCCGCTATTGGAATTGATCTCCAGGCGATCAAAATGGCTGGTTTGGAGGATGGATTCCACCGCATTATATCTTGCTGAGGTCCCTCCCCACGCCCAACCCTGCCCTCCCCAGGCTCCACGTCCCCAAACCTTCAGGGATTACCAACCCATTGTTGGCAGCCCTGTATGGAGACCAGTGGTAATTCTGGGAGGCCACCAAGCCCCACTGGTCCGATCCAGCAGGGGACTGAGGGGAGCAAGACCAGAGGAGGGCCAGAGAGGAGCTTTTCATGGCCTGGAGAGTGACCGGCAAGCAAGTGTTCCCCTAAGCCGAGTTAGTGTGAGCTAGCCCACAGTTTTTTAGCCTCCGGCTCACAGATTTCTGCCTTTGCTCAGGAAGGAGGGCTCCGGTGCAAACTAAGCTATGCAACAGCCAAATCGCTCGCTCACACCTTTAATGCCAGCAGCTCACAAAGTAGAATCTTTGCTCACAGGACTCCATAGCTTAGAGGGAGCATTGACGGCAACCATTCTGTTCTCCCCTGGCTACATCTCAAGAAGAAGAAGAAGAAGAGGAAGAAGAGGAAGAGGAAGAGGAGGAAGAAGAAGAGATTGGATTTATACCCTGCCCTTCACTACCCAAGGGAGTCTCAGAGCGGCTTACAAACTCCTTTCCCTCCCCCTTCCCCACAACAGGCACCCTGGGAGGTAGAAGAAGAAGAAGAAGAGATTGGATTTATACCCCGCCCTTCACTACCCGAAGGTGTCTCAGAGCGGCTTACAAACTCCTTTCCCTCCCCCTTCCCCACAACAGACACCCTGTGAGGAAGAAGAAGAAGAAGAAGAAGAAGAAGAGATTGGATTTATACCCCGCCCTTCACTACCCAAAGGAATCTCAGAGCGGCTTACAAACTCCTTTCCCTTCCCCTCCCCACAACAGACACCCTGGGAGGTAGAAGAAGAAGAAGAAGAAGAGATTGGATTTATACCCCGCCCTTCACTACCCAAGGGAGTCTCAGAGCGGCTTACAAACTCCTTTCCCTTTCCCTCCCCACCACAGACACCCTGTGAGGTAAGTGGGGCTGAGAGAGCTCTTGACAGAAACG